TACGTTATATTTATCAAACAATGTTCTGATCGATCTGATAAAGAAGTGACGTCATAAAATCGTTTTCTTGGAAAGTGATACTAACAATAGTTCCCTTCAGGGGTTTCAGTTTCTTCGAAAAGAGTTAAACGCGCACAAGCAGATAGCAGAGGTGCCAGTATTGTTATCAGCAACAAAAGATTTGTTTCCTTGAGGGCTTCCTTCAAAGTGTGTTTGAAAACAGCCACACAGGTTGAAACCCTACCTTCCCACAAGTCTTTATCTTGATGCCTTGGTCAGCAGCCCAACAGAATAGGCTCGCTGTGGAGAAAAGTTTGTTGGAAAGCTATTTCCGCAACAGGGTGACGTGGATTGATCCCGGCCACGAAACGAAAGTCGAAGTTCGTGTTACATGCTCCAACGACAAGCAATACACACTAAGAATGTATCTGCCTTCTGACTTTCCCAATTCTTGTCCCCACTTGGTGGTCAAAACGTCGTCGAAATTGAGAGCACGCAATGGATTCCTTCTGGAGGAATATCCCGGCGACAATCATTTGGGCTATACAATAGATGGCTACACCGGTATCTGCCATTTCAGGCCAAACTTGTGGAAGGGCGAGAATACTTTGTACCAGGTGTTCATGAAAGGATTAATATGGCTGGAGGCGTACGAGGCACATCTTCGTACTGGGCAACCCTTGAGTCAATACTTGGTCGAGATGTAAGCCAGCAAGTTTCATTTCATCAGTGCTAACTATAGTGCAGTGCAGAACTAACTCTGGGTTTGTTTTACCCCCTTAAACAATAGAAGCACTAAATCAGACCTGGATAACCACTAGTAATGAGATGATTAAGACTATGTAGCGAAACTGAATTGGCAACCTTCACTCGTAATGCAGCTTTTAATTCAATGATGAAATACCTTAATATTGTAGACATTTATTTCTAACATGGTAGCTGTCACCTACATGCGATTTTATTCCTCCTCGGTATACATACATATATATTTTTTCATTTGATATTTACTTGACTCCTTCAGTGGTCTTGTATTCAATGACAGCGTCGAACGGTCCTTCAGGAGGTCCATGCATTGACCAGCATAACAAACTTAAGATAGTAAAGAACTCACTTGAGCTTGCTTGGATCATTTCCTAGAAATCAGGGAAGCTGAACGACTATAGTTAATGTTCTTGAAGTTAGCCAGATAAGATTTTTTTCCGAGTTGATGTCATTTTTAACTAGAATTGGGAAGAAAAACATATACCGTCAATGCTGTATCTATCCAGCAGGTGAAATTGTTTTCTGTTTGTAGGCAAAGGAAACAACGTTCAAGAAATCCGAGGAAAAAATTGGAATAATTCCAAACTTCACAGCAGCTCCACTGACGTAACAACGTCATCATTTCTCGGAAAGAAAGGAAGATCAACACTTTACAAACTTTGAGACATAAATCTGCGACATGCATCTTTTAACAACCATTCATGCACTTAGGTGGATTTCTTGACAATATATTAAGAAATACCAATAGGTTAGTAGGTTTATAGCATAATTCAGTCGTAAAAATAAGTTAAGTAACGGTCTCCTTCCAACACTTAAAGTTAAGTGTGGATCTAAATTAACTTAAGGGGAATAAATAACCAAGAGTCATCTCTTGAACTGATGCTGTAGTAATTAACGACACAAAAGAGTGTCTCAGCCTCGTCTACGGCACCGTTATCCGAATAGGTCAAAGAACACAGTACCCAAACATTTGGAATGTTGTCGTTCGATTTACAGCACAATAAACCTCACAAATATACTAGATTTTCTTTAAGGCGATAATTTTCAGTAACACCTGACTTTGCAAAATAAAGAATTTGTCACTATAGCAGCCATTGCTAAGCTGAGTTGCTGGAACCGGCGTGCAAGCATACGAGCCCAAGTCAGTTCTCGGAACTACTTTCACGGAACAGTTTACTGTTTGACAAACATATTTACTTTTAGCTGCTGTTTTCCCTAGACTCACTATCGATGCATATTGTGGCAGGATAATACTGCAATTTACATGTAATGATTTTATTTTAAACCATACCTCAAGAGTCATCTATTTGGCTGAAAAGTTAAATGAAGTATTACAACAAGAGAATCAAATTACTGATGCCTATCATAGACATTTACAACAGAACATTTTGTTATTTTTCGGTCTTGGACTTGAACTTGCTTTCAATGGAGGTTGACATACGGGTGAATATTATTAAAAGAGATTAATTTAATGTGCATGTGA